AAAAATAAATAGATTTTAATTTTTTACATTTTTGAAAATAAAAAATCTTTTGTTTTTTTAATTTTGTGAGATTTTTTGTACACAATATTCAAAAATATTAAATTAATAAAAATGAATTGGTTGACATAACCTCACTTTTGTGTCACAATCATGATAAACCGATCAAATAATTATTAAAACGAAAGTGAGGTTATGTCAACCACTTCATTTTTATTGATTTAATATTTTTGAATATTGTGGACAGAAAATCTCACAAAAATAAAAAACAAAAGATTTTTTGTTTTCAAAAATGTGAAAAATTAAAATCTATTTATTTCTACTGTTTTATTTTAACAGTTTAACGCAGTTTAATCGATTCATTATGATTTTGCCAAAATGTGACGGCCATATTGTCACAAACTTCGATTAGTACTCGGAATACGCATTAGAGGTGTTGTTAGTTACGGGCATGATCAGGCTTCGCCATAGTATTTTTTGATGACAAGCCAATCATTAATATACCATTTGCATTCCAGAAACGAAAGTCATATGTTGGAAATCATCTGTTTGGAGGCGACTTTCTACTGATGCCTTGCCACCACTGTATAATAATACATTCTCTTCGCTTTGGTCTTTGATTTGTAGTACTACAACCAGGCTTCATTACCAACTACTATTGATTCATTTGCTACATTCGAGAAGCTTGAATAATCAATCACAAAGAGAAATGTGATCATCTGTCAAAAAAATATCAAAGGCTTTTCGAATGATCGCGAACAAACGTTCTCCAAGTAACATTTTTCGTGTGATATATTGAAGACACTGTCTGCTGTGATGCTGAGGATCGCAGCTAACGTACTATTGGGCATTTGGAATATTTCATGAAGGACAATTGGATTTTGGCCATAAGATCTAGAACTGTTTTCACTATTGTCACAAAAGTGTGAGAGTCAACATTCATCAAGTCTCTGCACAACTATTAAGATTTTTCTTATTCTTTGACTATGGTATACGATGGAGGAGGGTGGCCATAAATTACACGCAAGAAGTGATTGAAATCGTTTGATGCTATACAATCTTTTGTGAGATACCTAATCTCATTACACAGAAAGAAAATATCAGCCGACGCTATACGCTAAACCGACTGGTACGTGCGCTCATACGGTTTTACATCTTTTACATCTATTACCATACGATTTTTCGACTGTGCGAAGATCCGCACAAAGAGTAACGAATCAGTCGAAAAATCGTATGGTCACTAGATGTAAAAGATGTAAAAACGTATGAGCGCACGTACCAGTCGGTTTTGCGTATAGCGTCGGCTGATATTTTCTTACTGTGTATGATTTTGGATTTTTTAAGTTTTTAAAAAAATATCAAAATGACTAAATGTCAAATGTTGAACTTAACAAATGAAGTTACAGTAAATTTCATTATAGAGGCCGGTTGATTTTTCATATTAAAACTCAAGAGTTTTACGAAATTATTTTATATTCATTTTATTTTAGTTCTAAGCTACGGCGCACATAATCAATATTTAATCCATTCACCATCCTTTTCGATCACACGGGCACATCTTTTCGGCATACTTTTGCTCAAATTTTCAGCATATTCACGTTGAAAACCTTTCCACTGGCGTTGAATGAATGAACTGAGCTGCTTCAAATTGCGGTGTGTTTTACCACGAAGCCTTGCCTTCATAATGGCCCAAAAAATCGATCGGATTGCAATCGGGTGACTGTGGCGGCCAGTCCATTTGTTTAACGTCATATTCCTCCTTCCAGCGGTGCTGAGACGACTTTTGTGTTTTGGATCGTTGTCTTCTAATAGAAGCTAATTCGAATTGCCGTTGCCATAGAACTTCTTGGCGGTGGGTAACAGTGTCGACGAATAAAGTTGGTTCATCCTCACAGCGTTTGGAATGCCCGTGAATACGGTCAACTTTCCAAAACCACCTTCACAGAAGCAACCATAAACATGCACCTTTTTCGGATGCTTTACCGTGCGAACGACCACTCTCTTTTCGGCTCTAGACTAGGCATGGGAAGTGCTATTCACCAGCCAAAAGAATGACTCGTCAGTGTATATAACTTCGCTCCAATCTCTTGTTGAATTTTGCTTTGTCAATGCGTTTTTCTTCTGGTTTTCTGTCAAAAGTGATTTCTTCATTGTACTGCGATAATGAACACCGGCGATATCCAATCTTTTCTTGAGTGTGGACCGCGAGACCTCTATTTTAAGATGGCGTAGCCGTTCAACACCTTGGCTTAACGACATACCTTGATTTTCGTCGAACAACTTAACTATTCGCTTATCTTGCTTTGGCGCGGAGGCTCGGTTTGGCTTAACATTGGGCTGATCGTTCAAAAATTTTTCGTGCTTATACTGCTGGATCCACTTTGTTACGAACTCTCTTGACTTTTTAATGTGTTTTGCGACCTTCACTATTGACCATTTTGGTCCTTTTGGATGTAAATGCAAAAACACCGCTTCAAAACGCTTATGAAAATATTCCGAATCCATATTTTCGTTGCACAACAATCAATGTAGTGATTTGAGAACTGTCAATGTTAATTGGCGCATTAGCTTAGAGTGCCATCTGGCGACACCAAAAATATTTTCAAGATATTTGAAACTTTTTGTGGTTAAATCAACCGGCCTCTATAATGAAACATACTATATATATTATAGACTTCTCTTTATATGCTAGGCTAGAAACTTTTCCCTCCCCCTGTATCATACATTTTGATTTATTTCAATCATGCGTCAATAACACTATTTATTGAAAAAATATTCCATCATTGAGCGATAAGACAAGTGCTATGACATCAAAAATTGTATTTTTAAGTGACGTAAATCATTTCTTGTCATCATAAATCATGGCTTCTGATAAAGGTCACTTACTGTAACATTTTATCACAAAATTATTGTCATTCTTATATCAAAAATTTCCATTTTTGAATTTCCTCTTATCAATACATCCAAAAATTATTTTCTCCAATGTGCTTTATCAAATTCAAATTTTAATTTTTTAATGTACAAAATTAGCGAAATTTTTTAATGAACATAAAGAAATTTTTTGAAAAAATCGCTTAAGACCTTCTGATTGTTTAATTTACACATATATTTCAAGTTTTTCTAATTTTTCATTATTTAGGTTTCTTGGTTGATGGACAATTACGAAACGGCTGAAGGAGTTAGTTTACCACGTTCAACGCTATATAACCACTATATGCGTCATTGTAATGAACATAAATTGGATGCTGTCAATGCAGCTAGCTTTGGAAAATTGATTCGATCAGTTTTCACTGGGTTGCGTACTCGACGTTTGGGTACAAGAGGAAATTCTAAGTATCATTACTACGGTATTCGAGTTAAACCAGGTTCCAATTTGGAAACAACGAACGATGATAAGACACAGGCCCCTAACAACTCTCAAGCCCATCAACATACAATCACGCCACAATCTGCCTCGAACACCGTTGTGAAGTCCCGAAAATCGGCATCTAGAGCTGAATCATATGAAGCTTGCTCACAAGTAAGTTAATTAGTCATTTCAGAAATGGATTTGGTGAAAAAGTGAGTCTAATGTCAAATTTAAATATGCATATTAATGCGAGTAAAAGAGACAACCATATAGATTTCACCAACAAACCGAACAAAATATAATTTTAGTATTTCTCAAATATAACGATATATATATTGACAATTTTATGTTATATTGCTGATGTATGTTTGCAATCAAAATGGGAATCTCGATTTTTCGCGACATATGTCATGATATTATTGAACTTAATTTAGTTGCTTTGTTGTTATTTTGATTTGCTTCTGTTGACAAGTGAAAAACGTAAAGTAGTGGAAAAAACTACAAATTTTGAAAGCATGGATGAATCACGCAGATGCCGCCTCCTTTTTTCTATGCGTCTGGTATCTAAAATTAATAGTTGCATGAGCTTAAGACATACATTGAAATAAATTTTAAAACGATTGAAAACTTAAACAAAAAAATGTCCAACCAATTAATTTCAATATGTGTTGATAGTTTCTTGGTGATGGAAATAGAGCAATTCCACTTTTTCCAACGATTGACTTTGAGAATGATATGCCGGAAGACATTACGCTCGAAGATGTCGATACACTTCGATCAATTTATCGTGAGCATTGCGAAGCCTTCTTAGATGCAATACTAAATTTGGAATTCAGTACAATTGAGTCGCTATGGAGAGAATTTTGGCGAGCACAAGACAACAATAATGTAGATGAATGCGAAGAGGAGAAATATCTCAGTAAATATAAATTGTATAATTTACTACAATGTAAAGCTGTCCAGGAATTCATAAAAGAGGTACATTATAATAAAAAAAATATTTAAAAGTTTGCTAAAATAAGGCGTAATTGATTTCAAGACATTGACACATTACAGAAAGATTACGTTCTTACGGCCACAAACATTTATAATTTAAATAATATTTCGATTTCTATTTCAGATTGATTATGGTTTTTATCAGAATATGGTTGATGTTCTCATCCCAGATGTACTGCGCCCAATACCCAGCGCACTGACACAAGCTATACGAAATTTTTCCAAAAATCTTGAAACATGGATGACTTCAGCTATGACTGGCTGTCCACAGAAAATCGTTCAAATCAAACTAAGTGCTGTATCGGCATTTAGTCAAACTTTACGTCGATACACATCGTTAAATCATTTGGCACAAGCTGCACGTGCAGTATTACAAAACAGTACACAAATTACACAAATGCTAAGCGATTTGAACCGTGTTGATTTTCACAATGTACAGGTCAGATAAAAAACAGAAATAATAAAACTTTCTTAGTTATTTATTATTCCTTAGCAACTATATTTATTTTTTACTCGAAATCTCTTGAAATTTGACATGGAGTTTTTTTTTTTTAAATATTTTCGTGTATTTAGTTTTAAGCTGAAAATAGTTACTGCCATACAAATTTTTCCATTTTCTAAGTCAAAAATGAAAAGGTCTGTTGGAGAGGTATCCTTTATTTTCATCGGAATGAGACTAAGTATTAGAATGGCTGCGAAGATAACTTTTATGAAATTCAACTTGATTCGCCACCTTGATGTGATAATCCATGAATTTTTATCGATTCTAGCAAAAAATTATGATTTGAAAACAATTGAAAGGCAGTTCTTCATAAAATGGTCCATTTTATATTGCGAGTTGAAAACATTCCTTTACATCAGTCAGTATAAACATACCGAAATCAGGCCAGAATGCTCATGGCTCAATGTTCATGGCTCACGATTTTCTATGCAAATGACAGTGTACAAATGGGCGTATACCAAAGTGGAATCACATTAGTTTTGCTCTGAAAGAATTCTAGCTTCAAATGAGATTAATTTGTGAAGGTTTGTACGAAAATGTTGCCTGAAAATGTATTTTATTTTCATCTAAATCACTTGAAACTTCTCCAGTCGTTAGTTTATGATCGAAAATGATGGTCTCAGACTGAGACTCTCAGTTCATTTTGAGTCGATGTGTTGAAATTAAATAAAAGTGCTATTTTTCAAGAAATCGACTTAACGGGGAGATATCATCGTGAAACTTGCACACGTGATCTACACAACAAATAGAAAAGTTCCAGGTGGCAAATCAAGTTGAATTTCATACAAGTTTTCGCAGCCACTCTACTAAGCATTCAAAATCAACATAGATCATAAATTTTTAGTAAATCGCAACGATTCGCAGCGTTTAGTGATAATTCGAATTTCAATAGAGTGTTTTTCGATGGTGTTTCAATGTAAATTTTTCAAGTTTTTGTACTTTCACTGAAACAAAAATAAGGCTACAACTTTCTTATTTGTAATTATTGAGTTGAACTGTACGGTGCGCGATTCATCTATATTAGATGTGCTTCACGATAGAAGGTTTAAAATGCCAATAGCAGCGCCTTCTAAAAAATATCAGTTGATGTATATGAAGAAAAAAGGGGTATTTTTTGAGTTGGAGTTTTGAATATACTACCAAAATTTGTATACCACGAGATCGATTCAAATGATTCTTGTGGCGTTAGTTTTCGAGTTTTCAACCCGATATTAAAGGTCAAATGGCCCAATATATTTTTTCACATGAAAGTTACTTCCAAAGAAAACTAAGTTAGAAATTTTTCATCGGAGTGGAATTTTGAATGTTTTGCGGGGGTCGATTTTCACCAAAAATGAGTATTTATCAAATTCGATCGAAACATTATCAAAAATATTGCAATGAATGCAAGAGTCCTCCCTCTACAAGATATAGCAATTTATAGGTCGGTCGGAAGATGTTTTCAGAACATTTCATTATGATTCGGACCGGTACGAAGCTGACTCTTTGCCCGCCGAATCGATTTTCGATATAATTTTTGAAATTTTTGTAGATCCGACGACGTCTATTTTACTTCCTTTTATTATGTTCTACGCAATGACCCAATTTTTTTTAAAACGAATTGTGTGGCTTAACTTCACTTGAACTGTAATACAATGCCTGATAGGTCCCCCCCTCTGGGATATTGCATGAATTCAAAATGTTACTAGAGTATAAACAGTCAATTTGGGTTTTCCGGGAAACTTCTGAGGATAATTGTGGAAAATCCTGACGTGATGGGGGAAAACGAATGACGCCATTGAAATCAGCGCTCCCAAATTATGTAAAACCGACTGGTCTCGTTTCTGTCAGAAATTTGAAGTTGAAAAATGACGCACAGTGTTACTTGTATCACAAAACTAATGTCGGATTCAGTTTTTTCGTGAATTCAAATTTAAGTTAAATATATGTAATAAATGCATGTTGTGGATCACAGCCCGGAAAAGGTCATCTTACGGATGTAAGACATTTTATTTTTTAATAAAAAGCTCCTTCACAAAGAAACTACTTAAATGAAACCGATGATATTTGATACCCAATTCGAAAGGTATTGGAACGTAGAATAAGAAAGTGTCCATGATCCATTGTTTTTCCGATGTGATTATGATAATTATGAGAAAACTGAAATTTTCAACATCAGTTTAAAAAGGATCCATAAAGAAATGCTCATGAAATTCGAGTATCACGGTAATTTAAAGTTCAAAGCGTATAAAAAGTTAAATGCTAACATAATTTTATATGATATTCTGATCCTGAAACTTTTTGAAAAAAATGTTTGAAGAAGAAAGCCGATTTGTAAATTTTTCATCATAACCCTAGGAGGGAGACACAAATTATATGAACCCATGATTACAATATATAAACTATTCCACTAATCCGTCATTTCATTGTCCAATATATTGTCGCAATTTTCCGCTATTCAATTATTTGAAAACTTATTTATAGTATGACATTTTGTTACAAGGGGCGGAGATGAGTGAGACCCAAACATGTGCTTCTTCTTCAAAACAATACGTATGTAAACAAGCATCACATGTACAGCAGAAGTCAATAAGTATTCATCACAGAAACAAAGCTGAGTAGCGCACGCATGTATTTGTGTTTGCACTGCTGTTATGGCGTATACTTTTGATGTTTGTGAGTTAGTGTGTATGTATTGTTTTGAAGAAGAAGCACATGTTTGAGTCTCACTCGTTTAGATGTAAATTACATTGGCATTTCCAGGCCATGTTTTGTTATAATTCAAATTATTTTTTTCGACAATAATATTTTAAGAAAGTGATTTTATTTTTTTGTATTGTTTTGTAAATTTGTTAAATTAAAAAAATATTACAAAAAACAAATTTTCATATCAAAGCAAATTCAATGTTTTAAATTCTGTACTATTGACTACAAAAACATTGAATCTAACGAATTTTCGCTATTGCATACATGGCATTAGTGAATCTATCCAGCTACTGAATTGTCTATTCTAATTTAATTCCTCGAATTTTTACACTCAAAGTCTAATCCTATTCCACGTGTCTACCCCCTAGTCATAACCGATATGTAAACTTAGCTTAGTGATAAAAAGTAATTAGGAAAATTAAAGTATTGCCAGTGCGTAATTGTTTCGTCTCATATTTAAGGAGCAAGCGGCTTGGGTTTGTGAATGTGATGCATCGACAGTACAAAGATTAGAGAATGAATTCAAAGCAGCTCTCCAACAACAAAATTCCTTGGAACAATGGGCATCATGGTTGCGTTTAGTAGTTGATAGTGCTCTCAAAGAATTTGAAGGGAGACCAACATTTTCGAAAGCCGCGCGTCAATTTTTGTTAAAATGGAGTTTTTACAGTTCGATGGTAATTCGTGATTTAACACTTCGCTCAGCTGCAAGCTTTGGAAGCTTCCATTTAATTCGACTGCTTTATGATGAATACATGTTCTTTATTGTTGAACATAAGGTTGCAGAGGCAAATCGAACGACTCCAATTGAAGTGATGGGAAAAACTGACCGTACTGTAAGATACATTACATTTAATACATTTTATAATATTTTGATATCAAAATGAAAACAAATTTATTACGTTTTTGTTCTTGTTTCTAGAGAAACACAACTCCAGACAACAACATTGATTCATTGCTTGAAACTACTTATGGCGATGATGAAATAAAAAATGAAAATAATCCAAAGCGTATGCGGCAAGGTAACTCAAACGTGTTCGAACAAAATCTCAACATGAGTCGCGTTTCTGAGACGGTTGAAATCAGCACATTTCAATGCTTTTTTAGGCGCAACTTCAAATAATATACAAAAGCGTGAAATTTCAACTGTTACAGAAATAAATGGCGTAACAATGCCTAGTCATTTGAGATACTGAAGAATTGCTATCCGTTATTTCGATTTTTTTCCATTATAATCATTCATATTTTATTACAGTGGTTCCCAATTGGTGATCCACGGACCCCTACACTCTTCGGTAATTTTAATAAATGACTATGATTATAACTAATAAGTTGAGGCCTATTAGCTTTAACTATATAATAATAATAATAACTGCACCGAACAGCGTTCCTTCGCCTTGGTGGTTAAATATAATATAATAAATATAATATAATACAATTTGATTTTTATCAAGCATTTTTGAGAGAGAATATGAAAAATTATTGTCTCTTTCCTTTCATGTAAATAATAATATAAATTTCATAAATCAATTTTCCAACTGCTCAAAATTTCTACAATCCATAACAAATATCTTTTATTTATCTGCTTTGCTTTAAATAGTTTTCTATTCTCAGTTTGACTGTTGATAAATTTACTTCTAAATCAATTAAATTTTTATCACTGTTTGTCATTTTTTTGGTATAAAAATCGTTGAATGATGTAAGCATATAATTTATTGGTTCATATTTTATGTAATCAGTTCTCCTAATTGGTAAATCAAATAGTGGTGTTGCTCTGGTGTCATGTGCTGGATCATAATATTTCATACTGTTTGAAACATAAGTTGACTTTAAATCTCCGTGAATAATTTTGAAAATAAAAGACACTTGCGCCATCTTCTGTCTCTCCTCAAGAGTAATCATTTGCAGAAATAGTAGTCTGTGTTCGTATTTTGGCAGTTGTGTTGACTCTATTCTTTTGCATATATTGTCGTAGTGTGGATTCCATATTTCAGATCCATACTCAATAATCGGTAATATAAATGTAAAGTAAAGGCGTTTTAACGTCCATGTGTCGACAAAATCCCTGCTGTTGAATTTTAACCAAGCCAATCTTGATTTTGCCTTAGCCACAGCATGCTCGATGTGTTATTTGAAATTCATCCTTATCAAGCAATACTCCCAAGTCATCATACTTCATTATTTCAACTCTTTCAATTTGCACGCCTTCTACGTTGTAATTATATTCATATTTCAGTGATCCACGATGATATGTTATTAATTTTGTTTTGTTAACGTTTAACTAATTAGTTATAATCATTATAAATTAGTTATAATCATAGCAGCTATCAAACTGTTTTTCATGACAGTGGTGAACATCAAATGATTGCCCGAGAATGAAAGCGAGACTTCTATTCACAACTTATTGAAATTTAACACCACCATACAAAATATGCTGACAGTCAGCACTTTTTGCATGGCGGTGTTACATTTCAATAAGTTATGAATAGACGTCTCGCTTTCATTCTCGGACATTCAAATATTCTTAATGGGAAGTTTTAAATCTAAAATGTGGCTACTACCATTTTTGAGATATATGTTAATAATGGCGTGCCGCGAAAATTTTCAATTTTCTCTCATGGGCTGCGGGTCTCACTGGGTTAGGAACCACTTTACTATGTATAAATTCATTTTCTTCTGCAATTTCATTTTCAATATATGTTTACCGATTATTCCCATTACTTATCGAATAATTTCCATTAATTCCATTCTTTTCTATATATTTCCCAGGTATGCGGTTAAGTTAATTAATATTAAGTTAGAAGGAGCACTTATTATTAATATTTTGTTTTGTGTGATTTTTGTGAATACCATAGAATTGAGATATGCACAATAATATATATATATAATCAATTGAACAAAACGTGTGTGCACAAAACGTGTTTCAGACATTGGACATAAAATATTACGTAAAAAATGAGATAAGATAGATTCAAAGATAAAAGATTTTTAGAATCATAATGTTTCAATTAAATGTATGCTCTAAGTTGACTAAATATTACAGCAAAAAAGTGATCGTATCATCATAAATATGCATAAATAGCAGATCCAGTTTATCTTTTTACGAAACTTGTTGTCACATCCTTTCGTTGAAAAGAAAGTATCTCGATTCATAGAAGTTATGTGTTCCGTTCACTTTCAATGGAAATCTATCGATATAAAAAAGCACTGTTATGAATATACGTCGGGCACTGAGCCCGATATTTTTCGAAAACCATGGCGTGAATAGATACATATTTTATATTTTTGAGAAAGAACAGAGGCCGAAAAGCGACAACACGAAACAAATCAGAGTTTAGTTTTAGTTTGAAATTTTTCTCGGGCACTGATCAGGCACTCGAGTGCCCGATGTACGGTTTTAGGGTTAAAATGATTTTCATCCGATGATATAATTCACGGCCATTGATTAATTAAAGAAAAATCATCAAAAATTCTACCTACCAACACACGATGCAATTGAACACAAATGTAGAAAAAAAATACAAAATTGGAATACAAGCACAGTTATGTTTAAAATGGATGTCAAACGTTATGGTTTTGGCATCTGCAGCAGTCATGCATATTCACGTTTCAAAAAAGTTTACCGAAACAAAAATCATTGCGACAAATTGTGTGTTATTTTTTCTGCGACAAATGAACCATTAAATGTTAAGTAAAAAAGAAATAAAAACTTAACTTTGCGTTTGACTACATGTATAGTCTACACGAAAATGACCACCAAAATGGGTCGTGTTACATTTTTCAACGTTAAAATGGATAAAAAACGTTACAATTTCTTATATTTTTTATTATGGTCATCAATGTTCTCCAGAATCGAGTAATCTTAATGAAAAGTGTTTTGTCGAAATGCTATAAACAGTAATTTAAGATTCTATTGCTTTACTTTTTCAAAAACTATATGTAACCTTTAATAATTTAATATATCCCTAATTTTGCAATTTACTGCGCAAAGCAGATAGAATTTAATATTTAATATGGGAATTATGATGAATGATGAATGTATATCATTATTTGGAATGCATTAACTTTATCCCTCTTGGTTATTCTTGTACGTTAGAATGTTTGTCGCATCTGTAAATAAAAAAATGGATACATATGTAAAGAAAGTATTTGGAATAAATTTAGACGTCCGCCATTTGAACAACAAACACACAATATTAATATCGTTTTTATTGGTTTAAACCTTTATTGGTCGAACCTTCAAAATCATGCTTTGGCGATTTGTCGATTTCTTTCAACTTTCTCTCGAACCTTCCCGCTAATTGTTGCTTGTTTCAAGTATTTTGGACCTTCGCCTATAACTTACATCCAAAAACAGACGAGAAATAATTAATTTGGTGTCTTTTTGTGAATTTTAAAAAATGGTTCTTTTTTCATGGAAATGCTATTTTTTAAGAAGTGTGACTCACACTTATTGTGGTTTTTTCTGCTTGCAAAACACAATTTTGTCCTTAATCAGATAGTTCTCAACAATATTTGGTTATAATTCTATCGATTTCAACAATATTTGGTTGATAATGGAGCATGTAATGGAGGTTTTACCTTACGTTTCAGCACCAAATTCTCGAATAATGGCTCTAAAACACCTTCCGAAGAACATCGTACCATACAAACACCCATTTATCAAAGTTCGGTTTGTCCACGTCTCTAGCCTTATATAGTAGTGCCCTAACATAGTCATGCAAAAGAAACCACTTGCACTTCATTCATGGTTCGATAAAGCGATGAATGTTTCACTATCCAAAATGATGATTTTTTCAGTGCAACATGCTATGAGGCGAATTGAACAGCCAATTTTTGACACTATTTGGAATTTTTTCGTTACCTATTTTGCTGATTCCTAATGATCGTGTCTAAATCTATTGTTTTAGTTCAAATTTGGATGTGCTGTTGTAACCATAAGAATCACCAAAAATGAATTTTTGCTTGACCAACCCGGTTTTCGGTACTTGATGACAATTTTGAAGAGTTTGAGCATTTAAATTTGGAATACGACCGTACTTTTTGCATTCTTTAGAATCTTTATATTCATATAAAGTCCATGAAACACGATACATGGTTCGAAGACAGATTAGTTCATCTTTAGACACATGCAGAATTTGTTTTGAACTTAGCTGTCCAAAACCATTTGAGACTGTTTTTTGTAAATCAAATTTGTACGTCATCGCGAATGAATATAATTGAATGGTTTGTTTTTGACAGTAAAGCAGAGGTACCGTTTTATGTGCTGGGTGCAGGGTTGACATATTTGCATTTGTTTGTGCGACGCAATAAACACCTGAATTTATTCCAAAGACTTTCTTTACATATGTTATTTTTATAGTATTCAACACATTTTCAGTTCTAAATGTGAAAACTCATTGGAATTCTGTCCTAATAAGAGATTTCGAAATTTTTTATAAGGACAGAATTTCAATGAGTATTCACAAGCTTTTGAACTTTTGAACAAAGCAGCGTAAATACAGCATGTCAAAATCATCATTTTCCTTGACGTTAGCTGGTTTTGTTAGTATCGCCATCTAACGTAATAATATTTGAATTATTGGAAAAGAACATTCAAAAAACACTCTTCATGAAATATTTTTAATTAAATAGTCTTGGAGTATATAAGAAAAATTAATGATTTAAGTTGAGTTTTTAGGAGTTGTGGTTGTGCGATTTAAAGATTTAAATTCACACAGAAAATTTATGTATACAAAAATTAAAGAAAAAATCGAATAATAAAAGCATTCAAAAATTTAAAAAAATTGTTTATATATTAACAATTTGAAATAAACGGTGACACTCTGAAGCCCAGAACAGTCCGTATAAAAAACCGGATATATATATAAGGGTGGGTCAATTTTTTTGCATCAAGTCCACATCGCGATTCTGGTTCTATGGATCATAACAAGCATTTTTGCCCAAGGAACCATATGTCTAAAATGAATTTCGAGCCTGCGGATTTTTCTAGGTAGCTATTTTCCAAAATATTTAAAATCGACTTAGACATTGCATTGAAAAATCAAAAAAATATTATTTTTTCTCTAGCCAAATGTGTGTGCGGGGGTTTTCTGGGTCGAGGAATCCATTTTTGACATTTATTTTGCTATATAATAACGTTTTGATACGATTCCCATACAAAAACTGGCGAAAATGGTCATTTACTTCTTTTTTTCCAAATTTTTTTTTGTTGATGTCGATTTTATCATCGGTGAGAGAAATTTTTTGGGTCAGCTGCCCTCCAACTCCCCTCACCCCCTAGGGGGTCATAACCCCTCAACTCCTGATTTTTTTACCTGAAACCAAAAAATTTGGCTTCATGAATGCTGCAGCATGCCAAAAAACCTTTAGAAAATGTTTTTTCCAGATGCCTTCCGAGACACAAGTATAATACACAAATATTTATTTTTTCTCAGCACGCGATTTCTTATTATATTTTTTACGATAAGTATAGGAAATGCGTATCTGTTTCGAAGGGGCTCTTTTATGTGTCGACATCTATTGATAAATAGTCAAATTACAAATTTACTATTATCTAAGATCCCCTTTAAAAATTAAATTGTGTTCGTTCGTTCGTTCGTAGGAAATGAAAAAACAAATTTTGTTCGTTCGTTCGTTCGTTCGTAGAAATTGGGAAAAAAAATTCTTTCGTTCGTTCGTTCGTAGGAATTAAAAAATAAAAATTTCGTTCGTTCGTTCGTAGCGATTTTTTATTTCAAATTATAGATAGAAGTGGTCGAGAATAGAGAAATTTTTTTTTTACTTTTAGTGCTCTATACCGAGTTTCCGAGAGTTTCATATAAGGTTGCCATGTAGATGATGAAAACTTGCGAATAATGAAAGAAATAATTACTTTTTTTTTTTTCGATTTACAAATAATATTACATTTTCTGTATCATCTGGTGAAATCAGAATGAAAAAACTCGCATTCCTTATCATCTAAATCACGATTGACATTCAGTCACTATTCAATAGGTTTTAAATGAGAAGTTTATATGAAACTCTCGGAGACTCGCTATAGAGCACTCAAAAAAAAAATCCATATCCTGATTTGGGTGATAAGGAATGCTATTTTTTTCATTCTGATTTCATCAGATGATACAGAAAATTAAGAAATATTTGTAAATTGAAGAAAAAAAAATTAAATATTTTTTTCATTTTTCGCGTGGGAGGTTTGTATGAAAAACACGGAAGACCGCTGAAATGGCAAATACAAAATATGTACAGGCGTACGATAGTGTCATTCCAGCGGTGAATCTAAAAAAAATTCTGTATCACCTGGTCCGATCAGAATGAAAAAAAATCGCGTTCCTTATTATCTCTGTAACGATTGGCATTCGCATATTATTTAATGGGTGTTATTTGGCTGCTACATGGCAACCTTATATGATACTCTCGGTATCGAGCACAAAACAATTCTCGAACACAGCTAAGTCGTATATATCATGTGTTGTGAACAGAACGTAAAAATTTGTCATCTCTGTCACCCAAATCGAGCTTGGCAAATCTTTTTTTTTCATACTGTCTCGCTCACCCGTGCATTCATACTTGTTTACAATCGACATCACAGCGGACGGCAGTTCGCGCGAGTGACGAAACCACATTAGTGTGTTGAAAAGTCGAACTCGCTATATATACACGTAATATACGAAATCCAGACCTAGAAGGCCGTTGGCCCCGGTTGATGTATGGTTGGAAAGCCCTTGGGCTATAGATCAAGAAAAAATATAAAAGTTTGAAAATCGGTCCACCTGTCTTCAAAATATGGTCCTTTCAAGAAAAGGGTCAAAATTCAGTTTCATGACCATAGATGGCACTAAATGAGGTCATTGACCCCTGAAACATCTATATTCTTATTCTAGAGCTCAATACCTTTCCAACGACCCCCTAACCGTCGAAATCGATCAATCCGTTCGAAAAATTTATTATTTTAAAAATTTCATATGAATTCCTATGAAAAATCAAAATGTCTGTCTGTCTGTGGCCAATTTTGCGTAGTTGTTTCTGATCTTTTTGAAACTTCCTGTGATTAAAGTACATAAAAAACTAAGACTTTTTTGTTCCGGCACTTTTCGATTTGGGCGCCATGTTGACCGTGGCCGGCCTCCAAAAGTCACTTTTCGACTTTTTTCCCTATGGTCACCGAAGCGCCATGACTTTACACCCACCCAGACATATGCATATCATTGGAAAGGTCTTGAGGTGAGCTATCGAATGGAGTCATTTTCGGTCCAAAAATTTCAAGTTGGAGTGGCCAAATTGGCCAAAAACCAAAAAGTTACCGTTTGGCCGGACACATAATGGTCATTAGCTCGAAAACTAGCCTTTCATGGTCACTTGAAAATTTCACCGATTTTAAGGCCCAAGTCTAAGCTATAAAATGCCGCATAGCTTATATCCCTAAAAATTCTTGTCTTCACGATATGGCCTTTGATAGTGCGAAAATGGCCAAAAATGGCCAAAAATGACAAAAAATGTTAATTTTAACATTTGAAGTATTTTATGGGCCAAAATGTACTCCAATGACTCTGTAAATATGCTCTATGACTAGCGAAACAAAATTGAACAAAATATCGACCGTTTTGGATGGCTATTCCACCAAAAATCGGCCAAATGTACCAAAAATCGAATTTTCACAAAAAAGTCTAGATGTATGAAATATGAAATCTTAACAACAAATAACTACATGTTTGATGGTTTCCTCGCATAAGATCGATAAAATACCGAATTTAAGTCCCCTACCACCAGGCCAGAAGGTGGACTATCGTCGGGAGAGGTGCATGCGGTTAGTCACAAATTAAATTAAAAGAAATCTACAAAAATGTTAGTATAAATGCAAACTATGCAAAAGGTCATGCAAAAATGGCCATTATTTCATACGGTCGCTGTGGGACCTAGACTTGACATAACCAGGACAAATGCATATTCGTTCGAAAGGACTTAAAGTAAGTTCTCAAGTGGTGTCAAATGCGACTTGAAAATTTCACGTGGGGGTGGCCAAATTGGCAAAAAACCAAACATTGACCGTTGACCGCACACATAACGGGCATTTTTGAAAAAGACTGCATATGTTCTCTTGAAAATTTCATCAATTTAAGCCTCAAGTCAAAGATAAAACAATATGCATACCACATACCACTGAAAAATACCTCTGTTCCTCATTATGAACCATAATTTGTATAAATTTGGTCCAAAAATAACCTAAAAATCTATATTTTCATTGTATTTGAAAAATATTCAAATTCATGTGTCTTGAATCTTTAACTTGGAAAATAGCGCTTACAAAACTATTGATATCAAATAAAAAACCTCTATCAAGGTGAAGAACGAGTGACGAGACCAAAATTTGAAACACAAAATTTCTGATATCAATTTTGTGACGAAAATAGTTGGTAGATATATTTTCTGTCTACTGTGAATATAAACTTAATATACATTTGTAAATTCGGAACGTTGCTTCATTGCATCAGCATGAACTCAAAGTAAAAAGAAGAGAATTTTTGCAACGTTTCGAATATACAAATGTATATTAAGTTTAGATTCACAATACACAGAAAATATATCTACCAACTATTTTCGTCACAAAATTGATATCAGAAATTTTGTGTTTCAAATTTTGGTCTCGTCACTCGTTCTTCACCTTGATAGAGGTTTTTTATTTGATTCTATTAACACACAACTTACACTTGTATTTTCTGTGCAAAATTGCAAATGGCGAGTATTAACTTCGGTATCATAATACTTGATACTAATTGTAATACGCCATATTATGATCGATCTTAATAAATAATACTCATGTTGAAACGAGTATTATGATTGGTCTTAATAGTGAGTAGCATCCTGATAAAATATCACCATAATACAATTATATTAACATATCGGGTTTGGCACATCTATATTTCAA